ATATGATTGTGATTGAATTAGAATATCTTCATTTCAATTTAAAAAATAATAATAATAACTCCATTATTTTTTTGACACGTCATCTTTTCTCAATCATTATGTAACCTCGTTATGTTCAAGTGGGATTATTCATTTTGAGATTACTTCAATAATACCATGTTCTCGTTTTTATTTAAAATGGATAGTAACTTTAATTCTGGAATATAAAATAAAAAATGACAAGTCATCTTTTAGACAATTGGATTCATTAGAACATCAAGAGTGGCATTTGTTAGAATATAACCGTATAAAAATGGCATTTGTTAGAATATAATTTTTATTAAATTCAAAGTACATTTTACCATTATAACAGACCAAAATGTCGGGATTCTTAAAATTTATTGGTGGACGTGAATAGAAATTGTTCAAAACTGACTTGTGCCATAGTACTTAAAAACACATTTCAATAGGACGAGATAACTTTTTTCCTACCATCTGTGACCTTGCGATACGTTTAACTATCTATGGATAGTAATAAATTAATATTAAAAAATTTGCAAGTCGGTACGAGTGGCTTCAAGGGAGTAGAAATAGGATCAAATGGTCACATTGCACGTCTAAAAGCAAAACAAAGAGAATTAATTTATATGTACAACTGTTGACAATTTTGATTGACAACATTGATATTGTCACAAACTGGCATTGATTTTAAAAATAATTTTTAGAATGGTTGAATGCGATATTTTAAGTGTGAATTGTCAATCAAAATTGTAAAAAAATAAAAATAAATAAAATTGTACAAGTAACAAGATTGAAACAAAGAAGAAAAATACAAAAATTTAAAATTAATGCCAATGTACACAACAATAATGACAGTTGAGGGGGAATTTAGCGTGGTTCCACATAAACGGAATGTCTTGTAAATAGAATGGTCAGTTTAGAAATAAAATATTTTTATGGTATTAGAATGGTTAGTTTGGTGGTTGTAAATGGAATGGTCAGTTTGGTGCTGGTTCGATTTTTAGTAAAATAATTAGGTTTTTCAATATAATCATAATTCGAACATTTATTCACTTTTCTAATATTTAAAACGACGCAACAATTTAACAAATAATAAGTTTTATCTTAATATTAAATGACAAGCATAGTTTAAATATATAAAAATAAATAACAAGTTGTTTAGTAAAATTCACTCACCAATGTACAGGAATGACAAAAAAAAAAAAAATTAACAGCAAAACATTATCAAATTTCATTTTTATCATATTGATTCATTCACTTCAAATCATCAAATCTTCAAGAAAAAAAAAAGAAAAAAAAATATTTTTATTTAGTAATGCTTAACATCCATTTAATCATATGTTGCTTAGTTCGAGTATCCAAAAAGGAAAAGAAAATTTGACAAGCTCAATTCTTTTTTTATTTCCTTGGTTCTAAATTTAGAATTGAGAATCGAACTGAAATGAAATGAACCTGTCGATGCTCAAGTCTAATACTCATGATTACCCAACGTAATTTAAGAACTGAACCAAATTAGAACTTATGTCCCCTAGTAGCTCTCCCTGAATTGATATAATGGCCAATTATTTCTTATTCACATATTTTTTTTTAACAATCTTAAGTAGAACATGAAATCATAAATACAAAAATGTTATATAGTCAAAATTTATAGTCATTTACATTTATCTAACTTCATAATTTGTTCTATATTTGCTCATTCTACTTATCTTTGTTACCTATTTTGGCGAAATTATTGACATGATAAGAGTCGATGATGTGAATAGTTGAATTTTTTATTTCTTAATTTTTAATTCTAGCTTAACAAAAAAAAAAGGTGACTCATCTTTCCCAATGTCACTACGGCAGTTAATAATCCACCCCCCACCCCCCAAAAAAATAATAAAATCTTTCAAATTACACAGAATGAAAGATTTATGTGTATTTTTTTTTTTTTCCCGGTCAAAGTAGTTAAGCTTTCGCTCCATATTTTACGTCAGTTTTATTTTTCAAGTGAAAATCATGAAATGCATGTCAAAGTTGATATTAGGGTTTTAGTATAAAGATTGAGATATGATTATAACTGGAACCAGTTCATCCTAGATTTAGCTGCCATCAACCGCGATTTCAACTGGACAATTTAGCTCAAAATTAGGTTTGTCTTCGTAATTGTGGAAAAGCTGATGGGCAAATGTGTGTAAGATAGCAAGCTCAAAATTAGGTTTCCCACATTCGTGCTTATAAAATAAATAAAAATTCATTTACCACACTTTGAGCGGGAAATGAAAACATTGCTATCTTCTTCAACATGTACGGGCCATGGAAAAAGAGATTCTGATTTTGCACTGCAGCATCCTGTCCTCCATTGCAGTTACTACAGTATAGCCAGCTGGTCGATCAATCTCCAGGAGGCGTGAAATCCCATATGAAGCCAACTTACTTAATTTAAGGTTAGCAGAGCCATCTTTTTCAACACACTGTACACGGCTTGCTAATTACAGTAATTGGCAGTTTTATTTTCACCAATTTAGGTGTGGGATTAGCTAGGATGCCTACGTTTGCTTACAGATGTTGTCCGCACAAAAGGTTCACCTTGAGGATGTAAGTTAAGGGGGAGAAAATAAGGAAAGGGTTTCTTTGTTGAGATATGAAATACGTAATATGAAATATGTAATCCAGTTAATTATATGTAAACCAACTCTTTAAAATTTTACATTGACAATTTTAGAAATCAGCTTGCTACAATTACATGATTTCATTGTAGCAGTAGTCATTTACTCAATTCACAGGTTTTTATGTATACGTTGGCTTTTTGGAGCTTGAATTGCATGCATGTTTCCTGCTCTGCAATTCCATTTCACACAACAATAGATTCATGACTAAAACAATTGTTCTTTTCTTTCTGTAAAACATTTTGTTTGTTGTGAAACCATATTGTGTTACATTGGAAATTCAGTTTTTTACCCATGCATGTATGGGGCGTGGGAAAAGAGATCCAGCTTTTGCAGCATCCTGTCCTCTATTGCAGAGGGTCTGAAAGACTACAGTATAACCAGCTGGTTGATCAATCCCCATAGGGGCAGCAGAAGTGAAATCCCCTGTGTAGTCAACTTCCTACATTTAGGGTTCCAACTTCCATGTACATATGGCTTGCTAATCCGAGTATGCGGTTCGATTACTTTCACGAAGATTGGCTGACTTATGAGATTGTGCAGCCACTATATTTCTAGGAATAAGTAAATGCCACTTTTGGTGGTAATGGATAACTTTCACGATTTGGTGCTTATATTTTGAGGCTTTTCTTGTTCACAGTGTAAATGCAGTTTTTGTTATATGTAGGGATGGAAAATGCTAAACCAAAAGGGCACGGCAAATTCAGATCAAAGGCCGAGTCGACAACACCTCAGCCCCCTGCAACATTTTCTGAACCTATTTTCCAATTTTATCAGGTCGTTACACGTGGCTTCAAGGGAGTGGAAAAAACAAAGAAAAAAATACAAAAATTTCAGAGGGAAGGACGTGAAATTTGCATTATTTAAACAATGCTGCAGGTGGATTCATTTCCTTGACACTATTCCTCTACAGCAATAGTTCTATCATTTATTCTGTTAACTCTTCTACAGCAATACCGCCCAATAGGTTAAACCATTTATTCCTCTACAGCAATAGGTTCAGCCATTTTATTCCTCTCTTTTCTCACAATGGATCATGCCGTAGATGTTAAACCTGCTACTGTTGAACTTGTACCCGGAAATGGAGGACAAGGAGAAGTCAATGAATTTGTTATTGTACCTAATGGTGGAGAAAGGAAATGATGGTGCTGTACATGGTGCAGAAGGAGAAGTTGTTGAAGCCTTGACCATTGTTGCTGTTGAAGGTAACATTGTTTCTTTGTGTCTGGTTAAGTGAAATACTAAAGTGAAAATGCACTGTGCATTTGAAAATACTATGGTTTGGGCTTCAAAACTGGCCATATGTTTATAATGCAAAATTTTAATTTCAATTCGTTCTTGTTGGTGAAGGGGAATGTGATCCTGCTGCTGGTGAAAAAGGTGCTAATGCCCATCAAGTTGAGCATCCAACTTCTCCTTCTGCACCATGTACAGCACCATCATTTCCTTCTTCACCATTAGGTACAACAACAAATTCATTGACTTCTCCTTGTCCTCCATTTCTGGGTACAAGTTCAACAGCACCAGGGTTAACATCTATGGCATGAGGAATAGTGGGTGGTATTGCTGTAGATGAGTTAACAGAACAAATGGTTGAACCTATTTGTACCTAATCGTAAAGAAGGAGATGATGGTCTGTAGATGGTGCAGGAGGAGAAGCTGGTGAAACCTTGCCCGTTGTTGCTGTTGAAGGTAACATTGTTTTACTATTTTTCCGGTTAAATGAAATACCAAAGTGAAAATGCACTATGCATCTGAAAATACTAGGGTTTGGGCTTCAAAACTGGCCATAGGTTTATAATGCAAAATTTTAATTTCAATTTCTTCTTGTTGGTGAAAGGGAAGGTGAACCTGCAGCTGGTGAAACTGGTGCTAATGCTCATCAAGTTGAGCGTCCATGCTTGATTCTTATTTGGCTCATTGCCTGTTTTTCTTTGATTTTCGCACTCTCTATTTTATTCACATTAGTTTTTCATAAAGCCGTCAAGGTAGACATCACAATTTTCTTGGGTATGCTAGTCGTGCCTGCAATAGCATGCATTTTATTGTGCCGTTTGTGGTAAGGATTTTGCTTAGGGCCCGACTGAAGAGCCGATTTGTCTTCCTCGTTCTGATATTTATTTTCCATGGATGGTTGGTCCATATAATTTTGGATGAGGAAATCTTGTACGATGTATCTTTTGAGATGGGAACACTTTTGGTGTTAGTTGCAATACAGGTATGGCCAAAAGATGGCGAGCACCACATCTCGAGTACAATTGTTCTTCAACTTTTAAGTGTTGGCATTGGAACTTTGCATTGCAATTCGGATTGCAATTTGGTTTGCAAAGTTTTCAAAGAGCCTAAACATGCTAAACATTATAAAGCGAAAGTGGATGAACGCAACTGAAGTCTTGGGTTCAATTGTTACGGTAATTAATATAATTTTGCACTTTTTATTATATTACTGTTTTCACATATATACATAACTTTTATATCACCTTTTAATTGTTTTGTATTTTGTCAGATTTGTCCTCGTGTAAATGCTAATTTCATGGACGATCATTACCATGAGTTTCTCCCGTTAGATCCCGCCAGTCCCTTGAACGGTTGGATTCCTAGCAAGGTTCCTAATTTGCTTCAATATTAACAATGGTAATTTTCTTGAACAAATTCTTATGTCTTTGGCATTACAAAAAATTAAACTGGTTAATTACGAATTTTCTTCTTGCTTTAATGATGTTTTTATGTCAAAGCACATTTAATTCAGATTTCCCATTTTCACCCCTACAGGAAACTACATGGATCAGTGACATGGAGATAGGTGGCTCGCAGTGGTGAATCTTTATGCATTTGTTTTTGTGAGGAATTGAAATTTCGTTAAACTTGTTTCTTGTACTCGGGCATTACAAAAAACAACCATTCGAGACGTGTATTAGTCGTGCATGTCCTACAAATTCAGTATTTTATATAGGTAGATTGACATGCATCTCATGAATTTCATTACCTAAAAAAATGAGTCATTTTGTTTGAAAGATTGGTTTGAGAGAAGTTATTGGCTACCATGTAGTGTGTGGGACATTGGAAAAGATGAGTCGTCTTCTTTTATTTTATTTTATTTTGTCGAGCTAGAATAACAAATAAAGAAATAAAATAATTTAGCTATTCAACTCTTATCAAGTCAATAATTTGGTGAAAGTAAATGACAAAGATAAGTATAATGAGCAGCATAGAACAAAATATAAAGTTACATGTTGACCACAAAAAAAAAAAAAAAAAAGAAAGCAATTAAAACTAATGATCTCCAAAGGCTTTTTTGCTTAAACAAATATATTGTCCCCATTTCCATAATTCATTAGCACAACCATTAGGCTCTACGGTGTCATTTTGATTAACTCTACCTTCGCGCTTCCCTAGGGACAGCAATGTTACTTGTATCTACCTTATTATTTCATGTACATAACATTCATTTTCAAATTAGAACAGTCATTGCACCGGCTCATTTTTCGTAAAAATCTTTTAATAAAACAAGTCCAAAAAATTATCTTCCTTTCTAATTTTCACATGAATCCTAAAACAAAAATAAGAATCACATACCTCCATGGCGTGATTCCATAATGGATGAAGATATTGTTCACAAATTTTTAACGTGATTTCTACTAAATATCTTTTTTTTTCCCCTTCTTGTCCACAATTTCTTCAGAATAATTTATCATAATTTTGCTTTATTTTACATCTATTGGTGAATCAACAATCTTTTAAGAAACTCTATCGAAGTTACGTGTATCCAAGAAGACCAAAATCATCGTCTACTCGCCAAAAGAAAGAGCCAGAAAAAACGCTTTTTCAATCACATGCGTCAGCTATAATATTTTTCAGTCATTTTATGCGAAAATTGTGTGTGATCTAATGTGTTGTGTGATTGTGACATATAGGTTGTGCGATCATGACAATCTAGAATTTCAAATATGCATTTATGATTCAAGGTTGCAACCTAATATGTGTTTTGAAAAATTGCCATTTCGTACGAAAATTCTCATTACGTTATGCAGCTATAACCTACGTTGTTGTATGATTGTGATCTAAACTATTTGTAATACATTTATGTAAATGTGATATACTACCATTGTGTGATTGTGACTTACAAGGTTATGTGTATGTGACAACCATTCATAAATATGAAACACTAATTTGTGTCTTCTTGTCCATTTGAATGTAACCTAAAATTTCTCTATTTGAAAACTATTTGGTATATGCTTTTTAAAATATTAAAATATATTTTATAAATAATTATCATCTGATTTTTGAAGAAAAATATTAATTAATTAACTAATAATAATAAAATCTTAAGCCCAATAGAACATAGGAGAAGGGCTTATCAATTTATTCAGTAGGAACTGAGATTCTTTGACCGTCTTTTAGGTGGGAAACAAGATTCCTAGTAACAAAACAAAACAATTTCTCTCCTCTCAAACCATCAGTCAAGAACACGGAAATCGAATACTGTTCTAATTTGCCAAATAATATTTGTTGATTACTTGAGACGAGTCTAGCAACTAAAAAATCTAATATGATGAACTTTTTGGAGGCACCTTACTAGAGGAATAATAATTATTATAAAAATAAAAACTTGAAATGAAGTATTTTCAAATAATAATTCAGGATTCCGAGGCTAGTTTATCACTTAGGTAGTCATTATCTATAAAATTGAGTAGTAGATATCCCTTAATTCCTCTTTATCACTTAGGTACGATTAACGTTTATCCACTCTGGCCATGTTAATGTTATATATAGTGCTTGCTCCTTTTCCTCATAAGTAAATTCCTCTAAACAATACCTCAAATTCAAACATGGAGAAAATAATTAGCGTGGTGATAGTTCTTCTCAAGATGTTTAAGGATATAGTAATGTATTGTCTCACTAGTACGTGTATTTTGCTTGATGGCTTTCTAGCATTTATAATTCCTGTAGAAATTCGATATTATTGCATTCCAAATATAGACAAGCGTGAAACGGTTACTTACAGTCTTATCGCACCAATTATTGGTTGCACGTTTCTTTTTAGATTTTTAAGGTTATGGTGTTTTGGAGTTATTCCACAAAGGAATAGACGTTATCATTGGCAACCCTATTGGTTCTTTGGTTTATTTCCACTTCCCCCGGAACCCTCTCTCCCCATTTCTTCATCGGGGAGCCAGGTGACGCCTAAGGAACATAGTTCTAAAAAGAACATTAATTTGGATGATGTGAATTCATTAGGTGAGAAAGAAATTGTGGGTGAAAGTAGTTTGATTGTTACTTTAGATAATCCTGGAAATAATAATTCAGTGGCAATTATAGAATTAGCTGTTTGCAGCAACAATGAAGATCGCATGGATAAAAATGCAATGAACCAAATTATTTCTGTAGATGCAATGGTGGAATATGAATCCAATTATTTTTTGCATGAGGAAATAGAGAAGGTGGTGATGAAAGAGGTAAAGGCGAAGGAGATAAAAGAGAGCTTTTGTGGGGATGCTACTACTGTAATGAATGAGGAAAAAGAAGAGTGAAGGTAGAGTTAAATCTAAATGACAAAGAGCATAATGGTTGTGCTAATGAAATATGGAAATAGAGACAATATATTTTTCAAACAAAAATGTATTTGGAGATCGTTCTCGTATCAATTACTCTTTTCCATCCAATATCCAACTTTATATTTTGTTCTATGTTGCTCATTGTACTTATCTTTGTTATTACTTTAGCCAAATTATTGACGTGATAAGAGTTGAATAACTGAATTGTTTAATTTCTTGATTTGTTATTCTGGCTCGACAAAATAATAATAACTATAATAACAACGACAACAACAACTCATCTTCTCCGATGTCCCACCATCACTTGGCTGCCAATAATTGTTCCCAAACCAATCTTTCAAATAAAAAAATATTTATATATTTTATGTTAATTTATTTTTTCAACGAAAGTCATGAAATGCATGTCAATCTCTTTATATAAAATACCGAATCTGTTGGGGGCAAAAATTTGGGTTTGGTTAAGTTCTTCTTAAATTAATAATTTGATAATGAGTATTAAACTCCATAAAAAAATGGGCTCATTTCATTTCCATTCGATTCTCGATTCTTAATCTAGAACCAAGGAATTAAAAACTGCACATCTTTTTTTAATCAAACTATTCAACGTATGATTAAATGGTTAGCAAGCATTACTAATATCATTAAAATGTTTTATTTTCATTATCTAATTTATTTTTCATGTCTTTTTTTTCCTTGTGAATTTAATTATTTGAATATGTATAGAAATTTTTATATTAATCGCCATGCATGTCTTGCGACAGGACGAGCCCTGTTAAAAATTGTCACGTTTCAAATCACGAACACCCATTCTGTTGTAACTATTTGACAAGAAACAAACTCTCAAAAAGTTAGCCTGTTCTGACAGGATCTGGAAATCACTCCAAAGAAATTCAATTGGGATTTTCAAGTGTGTCTCAATTCATTGTTTTTATAGCCGAACACAATGAACTGAAAGCAGAAATTTAAGCAACTAAGCAAAAGAGTTGGAACAAAATCCAAACTGAGTCAACCATTGTGGAAGGAACCAGTAATTCACGAGAAGAGAGGCTGATCCTAAGAACAGGGAAAGCGGACTTATTGCTGATATAAATAACTAAGAAAGAAAAAGACAAAATCTCCATTGCCACATATGCTCATCTCATCATGCTATGTGTCTATGCCAGGTGTCCTGCGATCCACTTCAAATGCAACAAAAATATTCCCATTTTTTTTTTTGGGCCCCGAGACATAGCCTAGTGGTACAAAGGACAGGTGTGAGATTATTTCACGCCTTGCTGGTAGCCGCAGTGTGAGGGTTTGATTTCTGAGACATGGAATTGGACTCCTTGTAAGTGCAGTGTACATGCAGCTCTTGTTCCCTGGCCCGCTGGGGCACATCCCGCGATTTACCTCCCTCACAAAGTTTTAGAGACGAGGCGATAAGGGCCCTCAAGATTGGGGTTCAACCTTTTTAAAATATTCCCATTTTTTTTACGGAATCGCATCACTTTCCCACCCATGAGAGAGAAACTGGAAGAATCAAAACCTGCTAAGAGAAGACATAGGTGCCATCCATTAACTCTCTTCTGGGTAATATCTCTAATTGAAGTGAAGGTAATAATTATAATGCACTTGTTACTGCCAGGATACCCAGATAAGTATGAAGGTGGATACCATTATCTTCAATTCCAAGAATATTGTGAATTAAATCACGCTTATGAAGCAAAGAAGAAATTATGCGCAAAGGATATTCAGATTTCATTATCTAGAAGTCAATTGCAAACACCATTGTACATGATTTTATTTATTTATTTATTTTTAGTTTTGATATATTAATTATTTATTGGGATTTATTTTTAATTTTTTTGAAAGTTTTGAGATCACTGTTGTAATTAGTTCTTTATTTTTTTTATTTTTTATTTTTTATTTTTGTTTATATGCGATGGTCTATTCGTCATTTTATAGTTTCTATTGAAAAAATGAACTATGAGGACACTAACGGTTCTAAAGAGGGATGTTTTGTGCTATTCCCAAATTATAGGGGGGATTAAAATAGTTTGCTGAATAGACATCTACTGTACTGTTTAACCTTTAATAAATTTAAGAAGGGTAATTAGCACAAAACGTCCTTACCTTTCATGATTTTTGTAGAAAACGTCCCTATATTTCGTTTTTTGCCTCATTTCATCCATACCTTTACCTTTTTCTTGTGCAAAATATCATTTTCATCATTTCTTGTGCAATCGTAGTTCCAAATAAAAAAAAAAAAAATTCTCCACCACCACCTCCTCTTTTGAACTTTTTTAAAAATTGGAACTATGATTACAATTAATTCTTTATTTTTTTCATTTAAATAGAAGGATATATTAGTCATTTTATAGCTTTTTATTAAGAAAAATGATGAAAATGATGTTTTCTACAAAA